CAGAGCCGGGAGCCAGACTCTCAGAGCAAAGTGTGTGAGTTACTGAAGTATCAAGGTGAGGAGAAGCTGCTGTCGGAGCTCCAGAGATGGTCCGTTCCTCGCTTCCCCATCAGCGGACATGATCTCAGGAAGATGGGCATCACCTCAGGAAAGGAGATCGGTGCCACTCTGCAGAAGCTCTGTGACATCTGGAAGAAGAGTCGGTGCCAAATGGACAAAGATGAACTGCTGAGTCATGTGAAGCCTTAAGTTTGCCAATTAAAACAGAAGTATGTTTTTATGCTAATTTAGTAAAACTGTCAAATTGCTATTTGTTCTCTTGATTTCCATGAAGGGGAAATAAACCGAAATATCACATGAGGAAAGCCTTTGTTTTACATTCTGACTGCACTGCGGTTAGATGTGGTTAGATCAAATGCATATTATCGAAAAACTTTGCAGATGTAGGCTTTGCATTTCAGCTGGTGTTTAATGAAACTGGGCCACAGCAGCGCATTTTATCATGTGAACCAGCGAAGTTTCTCTGGTTCAAAAAAGGCTCATCATTAAACCCTTATGTATCGGCAGTCCAGACATGAACGGTTTATGTCATAGGAAAAAACATGAAACAATACAATAAATATGAGACGTGACTTTGGGACTAAGCAATTTTTTTAATGTTTTTTTCAATTTGCAGTCACAAACTGCAGTAGACTCTAATAGGATCTTACATGATAAGCCAGCAGTGTAATTGTGCATATTTGTATAATGGGATAAAAGTGATGCATATAGGTTATCACAAATTTGTTACAAAAACAAATCATTTTGCCTTTGTGTTTATCAAACCCCCTTTTTACTGCAGTTGCAGCAGGAACTCTTACAGTATGTCTCCACCAGCCTTGTTAATAAACTGACATACTTGCCTATTCATCTTTGCTAAAGAGATCCAGCTCATGACCTATCGATCTCCAGGTTGGATCGATGGCGTCTTTGAGAATAAGTCTTTTCTCTTAGTTTCATTTGTCGGTCTCGGCTTTAATCCGACCAATCCAACAGCTATATATTGTTTAATCTAAACTAGTGGAGCTCTGGCTGTATATTCAGGACAGTTATTCTCCTGGGAAATAAACTTCTGCCCCAGGCTTGAATGTATTGCTGCCTCTCACCTGTTCTTTTCCCAGGATTTGTCTGTGTTAAGCTCCATCCATCTCTCCGTCCACGCTCAGCATTTCACTTGCTGTTGGAGAAGATCATGGCGTGTCTCACATCTGATGACGCTTTTATGTATTTCAAAAGGTTTGATATATGACCAGGACCCTTTAACAGGTTTGTGTCCCTGCCGCATAGCTTGGGGTAAAAAGCAAGCAGAACTTGTTTTATCTATGGGTGTCTGCTTGCCTAAAGTCCAGCTTATGTAAAAAAGGGAACTAAAGGTTTACTGACAGCTATAGATCTCTGAAAAATCTGCATAAACAAAATATCTGATCCTGGCAAGCTGAGTTACTATGTTGAACTAATTTTAGGCCACAATTTAACGTTAAAGATGCCAAGGAAACAATTAATTGTGGTAAGCATATTGATTACAGATTGTTATCCTGACGTTTCTCTTCGTTTACCACTATATTACCTACATTCTTTATGAGATTGTTCATTTTGGCTAATAATAGTCCTTTTTTTAATATATATATTGCAATATGGGTTGGACAGAGATTGTAATCTGAGATCTTTAGATGTAGTCTGAGGTCTAATTACTCCTAGGTGGACACAGCTCGATGTTATGAGATGAGGCTTTATAGTGTGTGACCAGTAAAGGAGGGGGTGTCTCAGCAAAAGGTTTGCAGTGTTTCACATGTCCTTTGTCCTCTGATATGCCACGGTGCTCTTAATAGAATTCCCTTTTTCTTTTTGTTTCTTAAACTAAAAAATATGACTATAAAATCTAACCCCTTGGTGTTTATTTTGCCCCTTTTCTTTTTCTCTTTCTATTTGTATTTTATAACTTGTGTTGTACCTTGAATGCACCAGTTTATTGCAATTCAATTCAGGCTTTTGTATTATGCATTTTGGTTTGTAAATAAACATTTCATTTTCTGCACATATTCCTTTATTACTATTAAAAAAATGTCCACAGGTATTTAATCCCCCTGTAGGATATTCAGTCAAAATCTGTTTATTTGTGGGGTGTTGCAGTTTGGCCAGATTATAGAAATAGTTTTGATAGTATGGAGATACACTTTATTGCCAAAAGTATTCGCTCACCTAGTAAATAAAAAATATTCAACAATCATTAGATGTTCTTATCAAGAAATGTTTTTTTGTTACTTTAATCATTTATTTAAAGTTGAGCTGTTTATCGTGTTCCAAGAAGCTGGAGCACGACAGCAGGAATGCTGATTGACAGCAGGTTGCATGTTAGTAAAGTGACAGCAAAACATACACAGCTCTCAAGATTTTACTTTTCTTAGACAATTTACACACAGAATGTGTAAAAAAATATCCATTTAAACACATGTGATAATCATAGAAGAAATAAATAATTATTACTTATTAAAAATAATTTCCAAGAGCCCAAACATATAAAAAAGTTGACAAAATAAGTTTACAATTGATTGATTCAAAGCAACTTAGACTTTCAGCATTCTTACAGTTTGTTCAGATCACTTATTAGGCAGAACTGTTGGAGTAATCAATTCTAATAAAAATAAACAAATTAATTAGTTTTTCAAGGTCCTGCTGAGACATTAGTAGTTTAATTCTGCAAATGTTCTTTTTAGGCTCTTTTAACCCTTCATAGGGCAAGTTAGCATGTCTGATCACTTGCATACCCCTTACAAATGGAGTCCCCTCTGTCCCTCAGTAAGGTCTAGAAGCACAAGATCTATATCCAGCCATTCAGCAAAGATAATGCTACATGGCGGTACATCTTATTTTGGCATTTGACCAATTAGATGAACACTTGAATGATACATTACCTACCGCAAATTAAGTTGAAAAAAAGGTTAAAAGTTAATAAGTCAAGAAAAAAGGTACCAAGTTAAAAAGTCAAGGGAAAGGGGGAAAAGGCTAATTAAAAAGTAAAAAAGTGAAAAAAAAAAAAAAAAGGTAAAATGCTAATTTAAAAGTTAAAAAGTAAAGTTGAAAAGTTAATAAGCCTAGTTAACAATAATATTTAGCTTTATAAACTAAAAAATGTTATGTTGTATAAAAAAAAAATCATTGTGTTTTTCATGAATTTCTTTTAGAAGCACTTATTTTTGTAATTTTAAATTTTGACACATACTGTAGATGCGATGATCTGTTCCATGCATTCACCCGGTGCTTGAACCAATTCATAATTAACTGGTGACATTGTAATGTATAGCTCTGTGCTGTCTTCATAGATACAGTGATAACTGTGCAGACTATGACATGTTGTTTATGATAATCTGACTAGGGGAGAGCATGCACACATTAAATGGGGGGGGGGGCTATGATGGATCCTTGGGGAACCCAACATGTGATTTAAAGTAACCTAAGGCAAAACAAAATCCCTGTCTTTCTAGAAGGATTACAATCAGTTGAGTTCAGTACCAGTAAAGTTAGACCAGTTTTCTAGGTGCTATACAGTGCAGTGAAGTGATCAGCAGTGTTTAATGCAACACTAAGGTCCAAGAATATAAGCACTGTATTATTATTATTATTATAAGGACACTTTTAGTATTTATTTTCACTGTTTAAAAGGGAAACAAGCCTAAGCAACATATCTTATAAGCTTCTGTAAACTGTTTCTTTGTGTTTTACTAAGAGATACTTTAAAGGCTCTTCTCTGCCTTGTGTCATATCTATTCTCTCCCTATTCTCTGTTGCTGAAACTGACTACTGGATCCAGTGAAGTTGCTCCTCCCTCCTGCACAGATTACTTATAAAGCCATCTGCTCTCCCCTCTGAGCTCCCCAGTTTGTTTGGACCAGCTCACCTATGATTGGAAAAATGATCTAATCTCCTACAGCCATCTTTTGACTTTTTAATGAGCCTGTTGAGTTTCATTCTATCTGCTTTGTGTTTATAATATTCAAATGGTTCTACTCTGTGCTGGTTTTGTAGTGGTGCTGATCTCCTCTGGGCAGTGTTTGGAGTGAGGAGATGGCTCGGTCCAGTGCGAACACCAGTAACACCAGTTTGGAGAGTGTCCTGCCTGGGGATGAGCCTCGGGATGAACGCCTGGCTCGCCTGGAAATAGCCCTGCTGTCCATCATCTTCATAGCTGCAGGACTCCTTAACTTTGGGCTGTTGTTGGCGCTGTGGAAGCGGAGGAAGCAGCTCTCCAGGATGCGCGTCTTTGTCTTCCACCTGTGCGTCGCCGACCTGGTGGTCACATTCTTTCAGGTGTGCCCGCAGCTCATGTGGGACATCACGGACAGATTCGTCGGTCCTGACATCCTGTGTCGTCTGGTGAAGTACCTGCAGGTGGTCGGGATGTTTGCCTCCACTTATATGATCGTGGTGATGACCATTGACCGATACCAAGCTATCTGCAACCCCATGGTGACTTTCCAGAGGCGCAGAGCGCGCTGGAACGGCCCGGTGTGCGCCGCCTGGTGCGTCTCCTTCATCGGAAGCCTCCCGCAGGTCTTCATCTTCTCCCGGGTGGAGGTCGCTCCTGGCGTGTATGATTGCTGGGCTCAGTTCGTCATGCCCTGGGGTCTGAGAACCTACGTGACCTGGACGACGCTGGTGATATTCGTCCTACCGATTCTCATCGTGATCGTGTGCCAGGTGCGCATTTGCCGCACCGTGCACACCAACATCCACCTGAAGGCGCACCAGGGGGAGGCGGTGACGAAGCCTCTGTCCTCCAGGGCCAGCTGCGTGGCAGGGCTATCAAAGGCGAGGGTGAAGACGGTGAAGATGACTGTGGTCATCGTGCTGGCATACATCGTCTGCTGGGCGCCTTTCTTCACCGTGCAGCTCTGGTCTGTCTGGGACACAGAGGCGCCCACCCAGTGTAAGAGTCAACAATTAAATCCAACTCATTTTCCTCATTTTCTCTCTTCACATTCTAAAACCTCAAAGTATTATAATGAATAAATTTGCAACATTTTTGCAAAGTAAAAAAAAATACACGAATGAATTAGGACACTTCAAAATAAAGAAAAAATAACAGCAGTGTCTCAATTCAAGTGCATAATATATAATTACTCCAAAAAAACAAAAACAACAACAACAAAAAAATACTACAATTGGCAAATACTTGTATTTACCTGCTTGGAGTGCAAACAAGCTTAAATTGCAGTATGTATATTGTAATCACGCCCCCTCTGAAAGCACATTTTTTAATCACCCTTTGCTTCAATTGGAACAAGTATTCTAAGGTCTGTCTCCCCACTATGACATATTCACATTCATCCAGAAACAATAAGTGTACAGAATAGCCTTAATCATCATATGGATTTAGGTATGGGTTTCAGGGTCTGCTTTTCTCTGAGCGCTCCATGACAATTTGGGCTGTATTTTTCTTCCATGATTGTCCTGCCGTAGCTCCATCCACCCCTTCTAACCAGCTATTACTCCAGGTTGGAGACAAGTGTCCCCTCACAATGATGAGGCCACCAATGTTTTACCCTAGAGATATTGCAGTTTGAACATGTTTAAAGAGTTCAGATATAATATCGTCTACTGACTTTAGGCAAACTAAAGTAGATCTTCCTCCAACAGCAGCTTTAATTTAGCTAGTCTTAAATGAAAGGTGTCAGGCTGAAGAGGATACGACTAATAATTGTTTTTTACAGCAGATTTTCTCCCCTAACTATGGATATCTGAAGCTCTTCCAGAGTCACCATTGCACTCTTATTTCATTCTCCAATTAATGCTTCCTTTCTGCAGCCTTTCAGTATAAGTTAATGGCTCTGAAGTTGAAGTTCTGAAGTTGCGTTACTAAATATTTTGTTAAATTTCTAAGTTAGAAAAAAAAAAGAGGTAATTTTTCAGTTTAACATAATGCAGTCGCATTTGGTGATGCATCACATAAAATCCTAATACAATACCTTGAAATTTGACAGAACGTGGGAAAGTTAAAGGAGCATATTTTAGGTCTAAGGCACTGGATAAAGCCGACTCTCTTTAAATATCCTGAAATATTTTGAAAATACAGTGTTGGGATCAGATTTAACGGCATAGTATTCTTCCTCCTCAGCAACACATAGATAGTTTTAAAAGTTAAAGATGCACTATTAATTATGCTAAGCCTTCATATTCTATCACTTGTTTCTACATAACTTGCAGCTTTCAAAAATGATGAATTAATATAATTATGTAGAGAAACCATAGATTCAACATTTTCTCACTCACTTTCCAGCGGCCACCTTCACCATCCTGATGCTGCTTGCCAGCCTAAACAGCTGCGTGAACCCCTGCATCTACTTGGCTTTCAGCGGGAAGTTGCCCGGAAGACTTGTGGGCCTCATGTGTGTGGATGAACCTGATATGAAGGAGTCTATGCAGGAGGAGGCTACCATGGTCAGCTCGTTGCACATTAGCCTCAAAGGACTGTCAGACTGCAGATAGAAATCAAAATGACTTTTCTTTTTTTCTTTTCACCTCATGACTACCTGTTGAGGAGCAGGATCGGGTGATATTTCCTAATAAGTGTGACCATATTTCTGCAGGAGGCTCTCTGCAGTAGAGATGATTAATGTGCAACATGAGTTGGGAAATGAACAACTAAAGGTTGGAAAAAGGGCAGAGAAATACCTAAAGAAACATCTTATTCTAAAATTGCCAAACTGAGAAAGTTGGTGTGCCCCAACATTTGAAAGAAAATGTTCAAAATTCTGGACAGAGACGTGACCACTGCTTTGATACTAATTAAAATGTGAAGAGAAAGAAAATAATCATTATTGACTTTGGAGATCAAGCTAAATTACTTTATTATCAAAGTCTACCTTTGCACTGGTTCATGGAAGTTCTTGTCAGTTAGCTTAAATAGTTTTACATTTTGGCTTATTTAGATGAATACACTTGCAATAGCTAACCCATTATTTCTATTAGTTAATTTAATTCATATAATTGTAAATAAAAAAAGAAATATTAATCTGTTATTGTCCCATAATAGGGAATTTCACTCTCTGCATTTAACTAATCCCCTTGGGGAGCAGTGGGCTGCCACTTTTTGCGCCCGGGGAGCAGTGCGAGGTTAAGGGTCTTGCTCAGGGACCCAGACTCCTGCAACAATCTACAGATGTTTCCAGTTGAACATGAGTATTGCTCAGATAGAATTGTATATAATCTCTGCTCTTTATACTATGAGAAAACATGAAACTGATAAGAGCTGTTTGTTAGTCAGGGTATCTGCTCAGGTAGCCTGGAGAGATGCAGCTCATTTCTTGCTAATGTAGTTTCACAGTCTCATCTAAAAAAAAAAAAAAAAAAAGTGGTTGCTACTATAGCACCGTTTTGGTTTCTGTTATAGAAACCAAACATTTTCTTTCCTCTTTACTGGTAAAAAGTGTCCAAATCTTTGCTTGGCCAGCTGGTTGGCTATGAACTGTGTTTGGTAGGGAAATAGTGTTTTAGGAGACAGATTCATTCAAAAAAAAGTGCTGATGACTGAAGCAAATTAATGATATAGAGGCTTTTATTTCATTTGCTAACATTTTGTAACCTATTTGGTGCCTGCCATTGCAATGCAAGGAGCATAGAATGCCGTTGCATTCAACATTATTACCCAAACTCAAACCCAAACCCACTTTGTTTATATTAGACTCTAGATGCCTTTTCAAAACACAACCCCTTGCAAATTTCAAATTAAAAGCCTCCCATTTATACTGTAATAAAGCATCTATTGGCCTAATAACAGAGAAAAAAAGACGGATTTAACAATTGGAAATTGATTCAATAGTCTCTAGGGTCTTTTAAAAACACCACCCATTGCACATTACAAAATAGAGTTCTCTTATTTAAACTTTAATATAGTATCTTTTGACCTAGCAACAGGGAAAAAGACTGATTTAACAATTGGAAATTCATTAAGTATCACTGCTGGGTCTGACCCTTTGTTTAACAAACAACTGTACTAGACTTTCATAGTAAGACTCCACTCTGGACTCTTGACCCTCTTGAATCTTGACATGTATTGTTTTTTTGTTTTTTTTGCTACGTAGATTATTCAGGTAATACACTTTTAGACCAAGAAATTGAAGAAAACAAATGTGCTTTAATAACTTTTTCTGTGCATGGGCATAGACATATATATTTTTTAAGCCCATAAAAGAACATTTTAAAATCTTTCAAATACACAGATACTTTCATGAATGTGTTGCTCAAAATTTTTAAGAACCACTCTGTTTGTTAAAATACATGACCTAGTTGTGCTATACTTTTTAGTATCTGGTAAGTATGTTAAAACATCCCATCCAAGCCTGAGAGAAACTGGTACGCAAACTTTTTTCTATGTAGTGGTTTTCTTATAACACGCCTATAACACCTTCCATAGATTTCGAAGCCAAGCACACAGAAAATAGAATAATTTAGGGAAAAAAAATGTGCTGGCAAAAATGGGACTAAGTGACTGTGGATGTTGCTGAAAAAAATCATATAACATCATATCATTCAAAAAATGTGGTTTTCATCATTTGAATACATTTTTCTCTGCAGAAGCTCTGATAAATAATCAAGTGTTGTAAAATACTTGTGTTTATTATGTTGTTCTTGTGTTAAAGGTTTTTATTGTAAATCTCGTTACACGTGTATGTACCTATATATATACCGGTATATGTATATATGATATAAATTTTAAGATCTGAATTTCAGGTATTTGATGTGCTATAAAGCGCCGATTTATTCAACATTTCAGCTTGTTACATTTTCTGCCTCAGTCTCCATAATGTGATGATATTTAAGGTGTTGCCAAATGATTCAGCTCTAAATGTTTTGTTTTTTGTGTAGAAACAGTATCATCTTTAAAAATAAAAATCGAATTTTTGGTCTAGTGGGAGTATTTTTCTCTAAGCAGAAAATGGCCAAAAAATTATACATTTATTCTCATCTGCAGATAATGATATTTACCTATTTTCCCTATATTTTGTGAATATGCTTTGTCTAATTGTGTAACTACTGATGTTCTGAGCTACTGTTGTCATGTCCATGATCTTTCTGCAAACTTATTTTGTACCACATGAGCGTTTTTATTTCTTTGTGAATAAACATCACTTTTCATATTGTGGTGTGTTCCTCTGTGCAAAATAGGGATGCTTTATTCCTCACATCCTAATGCAACATATAATTTGAAAAGCCTGTAGGAGAGGCCTGAAAATATTGCAAAAACATGGTACATGGCAGATCACTCAGACATGAAAGCATAGAGTTTTGTATGCTTTGATTAAAATTACTTCCAGGGTATTTTCCGTCTGGAGCACAATATTTCTGTGAAATTGCTCTGCAGCATCATCATTATAGACATCAGCATGGAAAAAAAATACACCTTCATGCTTTCATAACTCTGTGCAAGTGAATAAAATTGCTCTTCGTCTTTTTAGCTGTGTGCTTGACAGCCAACCGAAACGTGGCTCCGACCCCAATCACCGAATGACCGGCAGAATACCTGAGGTGCTTAACATTCTGTGGGGAAGGAAAAGGTAGAGAGACGGTTCAAACATGAAATCAGTTATAAATAAGTCAAGAGACACTAAAGCTGGTCATCTCTTTATTTTTATTTTTTTCTGTCTTGCAACACAAAATGGCATATCTGAAAAACTGAATTTACATAATCGTGAATGTGATGAAATTTAAGAGCATTTCATGAAATGTTGCATTTATCTCATCTTCACTATTACTGGACAATGTTTGATTTAATATTTGCAACATAATACCCGGGTCTACTTTTTCTGTGATGTCACAATCTCATTCATTTGCTGATTTATTTTTTTTTTTATTATACTTAATGCCTTCCTAAAACAAGGTTCAATACTTTAAACAACATACATTCACAAAACAATGAGCAGAAAATACCACAATAATTTAGAGTATCATTTAAACATGATGTCTGCAATACGTATTTCTTATTATATTCAATCCAGTGACTATGCTCTTAACAATAGTTGTTTTCGTCAGACGTAGCTCAAATGAAGCTGCAGATCTATCTGAAAACCATGATCAACAAAAACAGATGAATGTCCTAAATCAACTGAACATTGTTTACAACATGTCTGTTCCTCAATAACTGCACATAAATTGTCTAATAATTTCATCTCTGAGGTTACATCTCAGATATTTCCAGAGTCAAAAACCGGATATATGTGCTATAGGATCATGTGGCTGTAAAGGCAAGCAGAGGTATTTAAGCTGCTGCATTGCTTAGCCCCATACTCTTCTTGTTTACTCATTGCACACACATAACCAGCAGTGCACATATTGTTTCTAAGCCCAAGTAATGTTTTTAATGGAAATATTCAAGGACGGATGGAATCTGCTGACAATCTGAGCAAGAATTACTATAATATGCCATTAGGACCCAGTGATTTTTTTAGATTAATTAAATGAGGAATTTAAATTGTCATATAAATAGATTCTGCCCCTTCAAAGCATGGAGATTTAAAACCTTGATGTTCACAGTGAGCAAAATCTTCAGAATCACCTGCAATAACAGCAGAACAGCAAAAAGCAAAGCCCCTGTCACACTTTGATTATTTAGACAGGGTATGCCTGGCGTACAAAAAAATCTGGCAAAAACGCTGGCAAATGTTGGACAAGTTATGGGTCAGTTTTGTAAAAGCTATGAGCACACTAAAGCATGCTGAAACACGCTGAAGCATGCTGGCACACAGACATACGGCAAGTACCTCTTGACGTCTGCCAGCGTATGTCATATGTGGGCCATAAGTTACAGGTAAGTTATTTGATTGTTCACATACGTTAAGTGTAAGTTACTCATACGTCATGGCATTTAACTTCTCCAAAACCTATGAGTAACTTGTGCATAGCTTATCAAGAACTAATCTATAACGCATATCAATGTATTTGACGTGTTCCAGACGACCACTGAACGTGTTTGTAATGTATAGCTACTGTTTAATGGCGTATTGACAGCGTTTCGGTATAAAAGGGGGTTCACAGGAGGAAACCATCTGAACTCCTCCAGACTTCATCCCACTCATAGGATGAGCAAAAAGGTGAGTTTAATGGATCCTCCCTGTGTTCACCCCCATGGCCACAACCAACAAACTTCCTAGAAGACATGACGCTGAACTGCTGCAACTGCAAACCTTCTTTCTTTCCCTTTCTTTTTTTCTGCTGGCGGGTGGTAATACTCTATGTATACGCCCATAATTGAAAAAATACACAGAAAATTAGGCATACGCTGGCTAAATCGTCAAGGTGTGACAGGGGCTTTAAGCATACATACTCTTAAAATCCCGTCAATTCCAGTTTTGCATCTCTTGTGTGTCTTCCACATAAATATGCTAATTAAGAGCAGAGTGCAGTTTGTGGATAAGTTATAACCAAATGAAAACATTTGCAGGGCACCTAATCTCATTTTCAACCAAATTTATATACAACATGCTGTGACTTTGTAAAAAGTTCTCTCCTGAACCACACTAACTAGATAAAACTTACTTTGTTTCACTAACCCTCAATTTAACGATGAAGAACCGGCAGCCAGCAGCTGCAGGAGGAGATAACTTGGTCTCCACCTCCTTGTCTTGCAAAAAAAAAAACAAAAAACACACAAATCTTGGAACACAACAGAGCTTCCACTCAACAACACCATTTTCTAACTGCTGACGTCTCTCTGCTGTTTTCCCTCCTCCTGATTTGTGTGCAGAACACGAACAGGCAGCAGAGAATAAAGATGCTGGTGCCTGTGTAAAATCTGAATTGAAGAAACAACCAGCTTTTGTGATTGACAAGACATCTTTCTAATAAATCAAATAATTATTGTCATGTTATTATGAAAGCAATAGCACAAATAAAAACATGACCAGACATACCATTTTTTGGAATTTAAATGGATTAAGTGTGAAATTAAATAAAAATATCATGACTGCTTAAGTGTAAATTAGGTAATTTTATCAGCAGTTCAGATTTATACCAGCTTGTAGTAGAAAAATGTGCTGCAGTCTGGTGGATATACTGTTCTAAAGGTTTATGAGGACTGTATGAGGACATTGATGACAGAAAATCTAGAAAGGATACTTGAGAGAGGGCCAATACTCTTCTGTGAGCTTCTCAGTTCCCCTCACTATCCTTTGCAGGGCCTCTTGTATTTTTGCCTGCATACCA